AGGTTTAACAAACTATCATTCATGATCTTCATTTGCATATTTTCAAAAGTTACATTCGAGACGATAATATTGTCTATAACAATATTATTTTATTCCAATAATTTATGAGATATCATTATTGAAATATCATTATATTTTGAAATTTGTGGTTCTACATGAATCACATTATCAATATTTGATTGATCAATTTTTCTATTATTATATCTTCTAAAGTTTTTTGTTAGTTTTTTCTCTTGTGCTTTTTTCTTTTAAGGTACCGAGTCTTTTATACCAATTAGTCAATCATGCTTCAAGAGTATTTGATTTCATGTTATGTAGCATATTATCGTGTAAGGATATCAATGTTTACTAGAGTATTTTCTAATATAACCTTGTCATTTTTCTTATATCAATAAATATATCAGGTAATTGATTTGAAACTCTTTGTAAATGAATATTTTTTTTAGCAAATCTTGCTCGCATTGATTGTTGCAAGGATAAAAGTGAGAGAGATTTCAAACCAAGAAATTTTACCTTCTTTTTTTAGGATGTAGTGTTACTTCTCCCAAAACTAAAAATGTCATTCCATCAAAATGATATTCTAGAAAACGTTAATGAATAGATCAACTGTTAATTCGAGGTATCTAGTAATGAATGGTGAATCAGAACTAATATAAATTTCAAATTTTCGTTGGTGATCAATTGTCATATGTTGTGCTAGTGAAATGGACTTGAACATCACAACAAAAAACTTTTAGGTGAGAAATACTAGGTTCGTGATCAATTGCAAGATGTAAAGATGAGTATTGATTGAAAGCAATTGGTCTTATACGAACCAATGCTGCAATATAAATTATGACATGATCCCAAATAAAAGCTAGAAGTTTTATTTTCAAGAGTATTGGTCTTGTAATGAATTGTAGATGTTCGATAAATGACTTCACTAAGCCATTTTTGTATATAGATGAACAAAGGAATATTCAATGGTAATTTAATTTGATATACAATACACATTGAATTCTTGTGTTTAAATTCATCAGTATATCAAAACGAATTGCCTAGATTGAGTATATAGAGATTTGACCTCGTAATTTAATGATTTGAGCAAGCAAAATTTACATTCCTAGTAGAAAAGAAGTAGCATAAGACCATCTAATAGAAAAATCAATTAAAATCTAAAATAACGAAATGGTGGGCGTATCGACATGTATGTATCTCCATTAATTCTTTTCAAAAAAAAAAAAGTTGAAATTCAACATTTACATTTATAATGGAAGGCTTAATCAATAACTCGCTTTGCAAACAAACAGCATATGAATAATATTAGGTAAAAAAAAGTCTTATAGTTCTTTAGGAAATGTCTATATGAGTTGTTAATTATTCAATGCATCATTATTGCAGTTTCAGCCCCTGCTCTTATTATTGCTACCTAGCTTGCATTCACTGCAGGATTTGCGTTTCTTCTTGTTAAGCAGAAGTTTATGGGTATTCGATAAACCCTATCGTTTGTTAACTATTAGGGCTGTAATTTTGGGTCTTCACATAAGCTGTGATAGATCAGAAGTTGAATCCAAAATGAATATGATTTAGGGTTTTTCTTGACACTTGTTGCAGCAGCTTTGTATAGACTCATTTTGCCTTTGGTGGAGTTTCTGTATTTGAAGGCAAAACAGGCTATTTCTTATACATTTGTATTGGAGATACAAATGGATATGTGTTTCTTTGTAGAGATGGCAATTTGAACTGTCAAAATCGAAAACGACGGTTAATCGAACTGAATTGGGCGAAAAAAAATCAAACAGATGGCGCAATGGGGTGAATATGGTATTTGATGTTAATGCCCCGGGTGTGAGGCAAGACGGATATGGTATTTACGTCGTGCCCGCCCCAAACCAATTACCTGTTAAAAAATTTAAATTGGACAATTGGACTTTCCATTATTCTTTCTATGATTCTGTCCAACCCAAAATTCTGGCTCATTACCGACCTGCTAAGTCCAAATTACCTAACCAGTAACCCTATACCCTACTACACATTTTATTAAACATATATGAAAATTGTTTGTTAAATTCGAATTTTGCATTTCAGAATTGGGATATTGTTTGCATTTTCATTTGAGATATTGTTTGCTAAATTGGCTTAGTATTGTGTTTTTGTTTTCATTGACTTTTTTATATAAATTGTTTTTTTTCCAATTTGACAACTAGACCTATAAAAAATAATTTATTTTCATGGTTATAAACTACTCGAACCGAGCCGAATCAAAATACGAACCAAGCCAAGCCGAACCAACTTACGTGATTATGGTGTGGTTATGGCAGGACCAAAAAATTGATGGTTCAGTGATAGTTTTGATCGAACCAACCCCAAACTGAACCGTTGCCAACCCTATTTCTTTACTATTGCCTTTTGTACGGTCGGAATGCTCATCATCAATGATTTCCAGGTCTCTCTCTCTCTCTCTCTCTCTCTCTCTCTTTCTCTCTCTCTCCCCACTCCCACGAGGCTAGATCTATTATTCCAAACTTGCTATCCAATTAATAAATTTTAGACACTTCGAAACATCACATCTATTAGGGGTGCTTAATGGGGGCAAGCTGCTGCAAATGATCCAAATTGGCTCAACTGATCATGTTCGAGCTAGCTTGTAATCGATGAGTTAAAACGTAATTTTTAGTAAAAAAATTTGGCGCTTGATTCCACACCAAGGAACGAGTTGGTCGAGAAAGCCGAACTACAAATTTTGAAAATGAGCCTACTCACACTCGAGTTACCCTATATGTTGCACAAGTTGTGGGTTGGATTGAGAGTTGCTCAACCCATTTACCATGGTCTTCTTAACAAATGAGAAAAAAATCGACCTATTTTTCGACACACTGGTACATTAGCTTCTTTTTTACTTGCTAAGAGTTGACAATGTCTCAACTTGTGAAAAATATATTAGAGGTGCTGAAAGTTCGAAAAAGCATATGTCAATTCTCCTACGCTTAAGATGCGTTGGCCTGACTTTCCTTCTAATTGTCCTCCACTAAATTTTTGACGTTTCATCACATCAGTTCTCGTTAACACATATAAACGTATAGTATTCATGTGATTAGGACCTTGTCCAAATTCTAGAAAGGGCATATTGAGTATGTCACCTAGCCGCTTGCCTATTCGTTTGCTTTGCATAGAGGAACATTTATTTTTCTAGTGCCCAAAGATTTTATATTTTATTTTATTTTTATTTTTTCTGGATAATGGGTATTCAGTATTGTTTTTTTAAAAGTTCTAAAAATAGTAGAAATTTTGTTTGATTTCAATTTTTGTTCTTTTTAGACAAGGCTACACGATACGATTTATAGCAAGTATTTAAGAGCAATATTCTAAAAAGCGTAAAGAGTGGCTAATCGTAGAGGTCAAATTTCAAGTTTTACGAATCTGGGCAAGCCTAGTCTAGGCCTAGTCGTAAAAAAGTTTTTTTAAATATTATTTTAAATGTTTAATTATTCTAAAAATTATTTTACATCTAAAATTATAAATACTACATTTACTTAATAATTTCTACAATTAGTCGATTATACAAATTTCAAAGAAAAAACTTGGGAAAAAAATTCCTTCTAAAATAAAAAGAAAAAAATAAATTGATAAAGCATGCCTAGCACATCTTGAAGCAATCAACTTGGCAATTGATAATTTAATGTTGCGCTTACCATCAAGACTGAACGTATCGTCCATGTTTCACACCTAGACGGCCTAGGCGTCGCCTAAACACGCTTTTCAAAGCTTTATTCAAAAGACACTTGATATAAGAATTTAGTTACTGAATGGGTATTCTTTCTCAAATGTTTTCGTTTGGTTCAATTCTTACTTGTCCGTCATTCAAACCTTGAAAAGCAAATAACAAGACTATTGGCGTACTGCATATGCCATTGGAATACCAAGCTGATGATGATGAGGTGCATGGTCAAAATTTGAGCGAGTAATGTTGCCTTCATGCATTATTAGTCGTGCGATAATTATTTCACTGTTTCATTGTTCAACGCATAACAATTTATCCATATATATGAAAAGCAAACAAAAACAACTTTACGTGATGTAATAGATAAAATTATTAAAATATAGGAAAATGATAAACGAACAAGGCCTGTACTTTACGTGTGATGTAATAGATAAAATATCAAAATATAGGGAAATTATAAACGAACAAGGGCTGTCACAAGTGCCTATGTGGCGCCCTTGAGAGCAATAATTATTTCACATCCATCAATCCTATTCAAAGAAGTGTTTAAAAGCAATATAAAAAATTTAAGACCGCTTGGCTTACCCACGAATGTGAGACATGGGACCTTTGTCCGTATATTAATATAATTTTATTATCTTGAAGAATCTTCATTTACACTTATAGCTCCCGTTTGTTTCTCATTTTTGAAAGAATGAGAATGAAAAATATAACCGTTACGAGCTCCACACAAAAGATAAAAATTCAAATTTAGTAGGTTGATGCAAATTGTTTGGTAGGGTTTCTTCTTGGGGTCAATTGGAGTCATTTTCTGCTCTTCACGTCTTCTATCGGGCATCGTCATAGCCATTCTACTACCTATCATAAAGTATTAGCAGCTGTTTTCCACCATTAAAAGTTTCAAGCAGAAAAGAGTCTCTTCCTCTCGCTTTGGGGTTTTATTTCCTATTTTTATGGTGAGCTCACACACAACACCAAGAAGAAGAATGTTAAGCACGATTCAAGCCAAAAAGAGTTGACTCCAACAGTTGCTCCTTGATCACTTCTATGTATGCAAAAGACAATGCCAACAGCTATATATTTCTATTTTTCTGTGTTTTTATTCTCTAATAACAGAATTTCACACAGGAATTCATATTGTTGAATCACCTTGTCTTAAAAGTTTAGCTATTAGAGAGAGCGCATTCATTATCATAGTTTATCTCTAGCATGTCCCGTCATGTGCAGACATGGACAAGACAAATTATGATGCCGCCCTATCAAATGAGATGCGTGGAAAAATATTAATACATCAAGTCACCAACATAACAAGTGGTCTCATATTCTCTTTGATGAAGAAATCTAATATAGATATGAAATCAGTAGTCTGGATTTTAATTCCTATCCAAAGGTTACGAGATTTTACCCAAGCTACATGAAGGGAGCATTTTTACCTCATCAATTTATCAGACAGCCCATAATAGTTTGCAAGAACACAAATTTCCATTCCACCTTCTTCCAATTTAGTAATACTAAACAAAAAGGATAGAAGACGATTCTTGCTTTTACAAAGCAGATTAGTTACTGTATAAACATGCCTGGAGAAAATGAGAAGGGGCATCATAGATACTCCATCCGAGAGAAATCTGTCCACGATTTTAAATGGAATGGAGACCCAGAAGGGGCGATCAAACCAAGTGTTTGCATAACTTTTATCCTTCGTTCCCTCAGCAGCTCATTAGATCTTTCTACTGAATTATTTGCCTGTGATAATTAATATTATAATTTTAGATCTGTTTAAATTTAGAATACTATATTGCTACCTGAAGAATATGTACTAATAGCTCGTGTACTCACAATTTCGAGCTTACTTGGGTTTGAATTTTTTGGCATTCCCTTTTGTGCTGAAGATCTCTTGCTAGAAGGGGCACACTGTAAAAACAAATATTACAATTCTCGTGAGATCAAATTGTGGGAAAAAGAAGAACTAACTCCATGATAAAATAGGATAAAAAACATTACCAAGTTTACAGGGTTCAAGTCACTTGGGCGGGGTCGTTTCTGGACCACTTTATGATTTTGAACTTTACTTCTGAATTTGTTTTCAGTTTTCTGTGGAAAGGAATTATTAATAATGACAATATCCTTACTTTGGGACTAACAGTAGGATGTATAAGTTCTAAGAGAGATTATGTCTCTAATAAATCTGACGCGGCATCCAGGATGCAAATCAACTCTTAAGAACGTATTTGGCTGAGCTTGAAAAGTTTACTTTAAGCAAATAAGTAAATTTTAAATAATTACAGGTCAAAGTTATAAATAAGTTACTTGTTTTGACAATTATTTAAGAATTAGTTCCCAAAAAGTAAACAGAGATAGAAGTAAGCATTCAAACACGCTTGAAAACAAAGAGTTGCTTCACATTTACTGCTATCAATCTTATTTTAAGCTTAAGTCAACATGCTCTTAATCTTGAGTTCTAGAAGCCCAATCTATACACTAGCAGAAGTTGGAATAATGTACTTGTTTACACTATCTTGCTTTCAGCTCTCGCTTTCACCTTGCCTAGCATCTCCCAGAAGTATGCTGCAGCATATTTTCTCCCAGTAAATTTCTAATTGACTTCATAAAACCCTTTCCCTTCTGCTCAGTCCTAACACAGCCACCTAAATCGTGATTCTCTAAATTTATCAGTAGGTGGCACTTCCACTTAAAGGCTTTATTCATTCTTATTTTATCCTACATATAATGCCACAAACCCATTTTAATATCCTCGTTTTCAATACATTCATCTTGCGAACATTTTGTCAGTCGACAGCCTGACAAAAAGCATTATAAAGCAAGCGTGTCGAATAATTGTACAGTACAACACTTGCTTTAACCTTAATAAAGTGATATATCATATAAAATGCCTGTAGCACTTCTTCACGTCATCCAGCCTGCTCTAACTCTATGCATTACATCCTCTTCGAGTCCTAGATAATTAATAATGGAACCTAAATAGCTAAAACAATCATTCTTTGGGACAACATGATTCATGAAGAGTTGGAATTTCACATACAGATTTTGGGCATTTTTCCATAATCACTTTCATTGTTACATTCTGCTTCTTGAGTTCCCTGATACAAACCTATATTATCCGCAACATTAAAAACCCCAGAAAGAGAGAGAAGTTTCAACGTAGATCAAAGAATGTGAAAATGAAAGCTTGAACAGCGAGATGGTTACTTTATCCTACTTGATCTCAGTTTCTTTGCAAAATTTCATCTTTTGGTGCCTTGCTATCTGATTTATTAAAAGTGGAGCTTTTTCCCTATCCAAAATTAAACCTCCAGATGTAAAATAAGAAAATTAACAATACTAACATTTAATCTACACATCCAAAAAACCAGCAAGTCACAAGGCGTTTTTTACGATTTATATTTCAATAAATGACTAATAGGCATTCCGTGTTTATCTTAGTTACAAGGTGCTGCTTTCTTTAAGATTCTGGAGCACTGGAGCATCGAGATCAACCTTCAATCATTTCATTGGCTCCCAACCCCAAACTCAAATGCACACCCCACCCACACCCTAGAAAAATAAAAAGAGAAGAGAAAAACGTGCAATTCTTTAAGATATAATTTGTTGGGTGGGGGGGGGGGGGGGGGGAGTAATTAACAAACTTAGTGCCCAGCTCTTTCACTTACAGAATTCAGGGTGATTGCATCCTGGCTTTTGTTTGTTACATCTTGCTTCAGAATACTCTCTTGAGATACCTCGTCACTTGCAAATTCTGCCAGAAAAGAAATTAAATTTTAGCAAATACAAAAAACAAAAACAAACTGTGTTTATTCCAATGAGGTCAGTTAATATCAACAACCAAGGTGAACACTGAACAGCTTAAAAGATTAATACTGTGCCCCAATTTATTGCAATTACATAACTTTTAAGGAGTGGTAACACTTGGACATATGTTGACATATGTTTCATATTGGGTTTTATGCAGAAAATATGGACAATTACCAAGGAAGAATGCTAGCTAGCTATATATGTTCAGTCGGAAAACACATAACTGAGGGAGAAAAAAGAAAATCCTCCACTGTAGCGTAAAAATCTAAAGTGCATTATTAAAACCTTATAAAATAAAAAATAGGACTTACAACTTTAAACTGAAAACTTATTTCAATTATATTAAGTGCTTCACTGGGAGCAATAACACGTTCAAGGTATATATTCAGTTTATTCAACAAGAGTGCAACATGGTAATTGTCTTTCCACCAAAGTTTAACATTTTATGTTAAGTAGGATGATTTCTACCCAAATCATTTACAAGATGTTCATGTTTATAAGAGTGCATGAAACTCAATGATGTCAAAAGAGCCGAAATGTTGAGAGAAATTGAAAGATTTTCCGAAAAACTTGCTCTTCTCCACAGCATTGTTTCACCTATATATATAAATATAAATAGTCTTTGAATTTATATGGAAACTAAATAAAATATAATCCCTAAACAAACGATTAGTCTAATTGAAAAATAGGTTTCCAATTTATCTAAATTATATACGGTAACATTCCTCCTCAAATTGATGCTGAGAGGTCAACAACCAACAATTTGCCAACAAGAACAAGAACAAGAACAAGAGAAATGGACATCATAATTATTATCATCCAATAAACCAGCAAAAAATTAAATTTGTAGATAGGTCAAGTAACACAAAAACATTAGTTAAGGAAGACGAAAGATAACTAACAACGTTGATAAGCATAGAAATGTCATTAGCAGTGTGAATTTTTAGATTCCCATCATATTCTCTAACATGAAAGAGGAATAACAGTATTGGTCATATGGTGAAAGGCTCCGGAATCAAAGAACCATGGATTAGAAGAAACTATGAGTACCTAAGAGTCCAAAACTAAAAAAACGCAGAATTGATCAACTGTTGTACCATTTCAAAAGTGAGGGTGGACGGATTTGCTAAGGCACCAGAAGCAAAATTAGGAACGACGTACAAAGCAACAAGCGATGTAGCAAAGCTACAAGCACCAATGGAGGTATGATATGAAATGCTATGCTTCCTTTCATGATGAATGAGACAAAAAGAGATGTGATGACCATACAAACAGAGATGTGATGACCATGTTATAATATTTCTTAGCATAATCCCTAACAATATGATCAAAAGCTTTACAGTTATAGCACTGGAAAACACACGTGTCCCGACCCTTATTCCTTCCTTGTGCTGCATAAGCCACAGTAACAGGAGTACGGACAATAGCTCTATGTTCCATGGCAACCTAAGTGACGATACGTTGCTCCTCACGAACAACTTTACCCAAACAAGTATCCAACGATGGTACAGGATAATGATTCATCATATTAGAACGTGTAACCTCAAAATCGGGACGTAGCTTCATCAAGAATTGATTAATCCCTCTTGCTTGTTAATAGGCCCCCTGTTCTAGAAGGACCTGGAATAATTGAGAACAATTTGGCAGCAACAAGATTCTGTTAACATGGCCGGCTGATGTGGACAAATTAGTTACTGAAGGTCTATAAATATAGAAGAAGCAAGTAGGACTGAGGAGGGAAAAATATTGGTAGCAAAGTTAGGAGAGTGTAGCCCTCTCGAAAGGCTATAGTCGTTTCTTTTCCAATTCTATAATTTCCCAGTTTCATCAATCAAATACGGCAATTATTTTCTACTTTTGGATACTGTTCATAAACTGCAACTGGTATCCTATCAATTGGTATCAAAGCAGTGGATTCTCGGACTAAGGGAAACTATTTTCAGTTGAGCTTGATAAGGAGTAAGTCGGAGGAGATGGTGATGCAACAGAAAGGAGGCCAAGCCTTTGAGTCAGGGTTGGATTCATGTGGCCGACTCAACACACAGATATTCTAAGGGAATAATCTAGATTCGTGGTTGTTTGAGGCAGAAAGATGCATAAACATGAATCGAAACTTACCGGAGAGGGAGAAGGTTGAAGCCGCAATCGCTTGCTTCCTTGGAGAGGCTTGGGAATGGTTTCAAGAGGTACATGATCACTGTCCGATACAGACCTGGGGAGATTTAAAGCGTCAGACGATTAATAGATTCGGTTTACCTCAAAAGGGCTCGAACTGGAAGTTCCTTCCACCTCAAAAAGAAAGCACCAACAAAGAGGACAAGGAGCTGTTGGTTTCTCCTCCGTTGGACGTTTTTGAATCTAGCTTGCTGCTGCAAAACACGTTGGAGAAGAAGACGTCGCCGCCTAACAAAAGGGAAGAAGATTATGTCAATGGGCTTACTATCACGACAAATGAGGCCCAAACAATAGAAGGAAAAGGGCAGCAAATTAGGTCTGAAATTCTTATAAAAAGACTTGGGGACTTGATTTTGAAGTGGACCGAAATGGGTGAAGACCAAATTGAATCAATACAAGCCCAGTCCACTTACGGCCCATCTAAGATCCACATGTCCATGACATCAAATACTCATCAGTCCAGTGGGGAAGAAATCACTCCAGCAGCTGAATTACCACTTGTAGAACTTGCAGCAGAAAATGATATCATGTCGCCAAAACCCACCCTCACTTCTATAACTCCCCCAAAATTGGACGAAGCTAGAGTAATTAGCTGTATCACACACCGCCGAGAGGAGCCGGACAGGAAGGACAAGGGGGTCGCAGTCACTTTACCAGAACCCACCATTAATTTGGAAACAACCCCAAAAATTAAAAGAATCCAAGTCAGTGAAGAGGGTCGAAAGAAGAATTCCATGGTGAAGTTCGGAAGAAAGGAGAAAGAAGTGGAAATCATTCTGGCAGAAACCTCACCACCCGCTGTAAGGAAGATGCAAACACAATAAATAATAAATTGGGTTTGGGGATGAATGGCGACAATGGGCTGAAGCAGCTGGGTGGAAGTGAAGTTAAAAGGCTCAAATCATATGGTTTGGGCCAAATCATGAATTTAGCCCAAATGTTTGAGGACCGAAAGGAGTCTTTAAAAAGGGCTCAGCCTAAGTCTTGCCCATATGGCACGTACGAAGTCGTCCCCCAAACCACTATGAACAATCCGCAATACCCTTGGATGGCGATGGTGCGCCGAAAAGCGAAAAGGGTTTCTCCTATCAAAAGCCTTACGATTGCGGAACTACAGTTGGTATCCTATCAAGAAAATTTTGACACCGAAAATGATGAGTATGTCGGCGGTGTGGAGAAACTTTTTTTTCAGTTCTGTGATGGGCACAATTGCCCCAAAGACAATGAAATTGAAGCGCGAAATGGACCAACCAGAAGTTGTGATGTTTGATGTCGGGGCTATTTTCAACTTCCCTCCTACTGAAATAGTCCAGCGCGCTGAAGAGTTGCAAATGGGTGTGACAGGTTATGGAGTTTTAATGGACACCATATTAGTGATATTAAGTCCAGTAAATCAATCATCCACTTGCCTCGGACCAGGAAAAAGGATTTTAACAGCACCTCTATTTGGGATATTCACAAATGAAATTGTGCGGATATATGATGAATTGAACAACTTCCACCTTGAGGACAAGGTGGATTTCGGGCGGCGGGTAATGATAGGCCCCCTGTTCTAGAAGGACCCGAAATAATTGAGAACAATTTGGTAGCAACAAGATTCTATTAACATGGCCGGCTGATGTGGACAAATTAGTTACTGAAGGTCTATAAATATAGAAGAAGCAAGTAGGACTGAGGAGGGAAAAATATTGGTAGCAAAGTTAGGAGAGTGTAGCCCTCTCGAAAGGCTATAGTCGTTTCTTTTCCAATTCTATAATTTCCCAGTTTCATCAATCAAATACGGCAATTATTTTCTACTTTTGGATACTGTTCATAAACTGCAACTGGTATCCTATCACTTGTCTCATGCACTTTTTGAACAAAAGATAGAGTTGCAACATGAACATTAACATAAAAAAAACCTAAAAATATTCATTAATGGAGAGACTAAAAATATTCATTAATGGAGAGACTGCCCTGCGTAAAATTAGTCAACTCATGTTCCAATAGAAATCGTCGAGCCATGTTGTCCTGTTTGTAAACATTACTAAGGTAAACCCACATGAACATTAACATAAAGTTTTGAAAACCTAAAAATATTCATTAATGGAGAGACTGCCCTGCGTAAAATTAGTCAACTCATGTTCCAATAGAAATCGTCGATCCATGTCGTCCTGTTTGTAAACATTACTAAGGTAAACCCACATATCAACAGCAGTTTTTTAAGGCATCCGATTGGGAACAAGGTGAAACTTAACTGAACTAGGGTCCAGGTCATAATCCAAGCATGACAAAGCCTCTACATTTGTAGGAGAGAGATCACTTCCATCAATATGACCTCATAACTCTTTTTCTTTGACAAATAATTGAAATTGGAATTCCCAAGCATAGTAATTTTTGCAATTAAAATGAATATGAAATGAGTCTTAACTTATCTAACGACATGATGGAATAAAATACTCAACTAAAAAATTGATTGCAATAACCACTACAAATTAACTGTTATAAAAGGAACCCAGACCAAAAACCACTAAATTGGCACCTGAAAGAAAATCCAAACCATACAGAGAGAGCCGAACGAAAAGGCAAAGAAGCTAAACTCTTAGAGAAACGCTAGAAATCTACCAAAAACCCAAGAAACTCTTACTTAGCATGCCAAACTACCGACCAGAGGCTAACGATATACACCTAGATGACCAAGGGAAAATGCAACCAGAAACCTCAAGAGAAATAACCAAACAGTTCCACCGGAACCAGAAATACGCAGACCAGAGGCCGGAATACGCACAGCCACCAATAATCAGGAACAGACACTGAAACTGAAATGAGGAAGGTTTGAGCGAAAAAAAAAAAAGAAAAAGAGTTAGAAAACTAGCGCTCTGATACCATGTCAAAGGAGCCGAAATGTTTTCTGAAAAACTTGCTGTTCTCCACAACCTTGTTCACCAATGTGTGTGTGTGTGTGTGTACAGTATTTGAATTTACAAGGAAATTAAATAAAATACAATCCCTAAAAAACAGCTATTCTAATTGAAAAATAAGTTTCCAATTTATCTAAATTACATATGGTAACAAAAGAGAGTATTCATTTTTAAGCTTCAACCTCCATCTCATGGAAAAGCTTGCCTTTTACTAAATAACTAGAAAAAATGGGACCATCAGTGATACAATAACTGTAATATTTTAAATCAACTAAGAGAAACTGCTAACCTTTACTTTTCACTTCCTTCCTTCTTGATCTACCAGATCTAAGACATTTTAATTCCTATAACCAAAAAGAATTATTAAAAATTTCTTACACACTAAGCATAGCCACAATGAAACCCTACTATGGAACTTGATGTACCAAAAAAAAAATCTCAGGTGCCAAGGGAACACAGAATCACCTGCTCCAGAGTTTCCTTTAATATATCCATATAATTGCCACTGTAAGCTTCATGTTTCTAAGGATTCAACTACAAAGCAGCTTAGTTACAAATATACGCAACATAGATAAACCAAAGTTTACAAGGTACTGAGAATTTAATAAACTAAGCATCCAAACGTGAGCTTACATCCTCAAATTTTCCATGGGACATAATTGGATCCACATACAAGCTGCAAGAAGAGGAAAAGTGTTCCCAAAACTTAAAATTGAGGGATCAGCGGTTATTGAAAACGAGAATATAGTTGAAGGTCACTGACTATTTATAGCTTCCATATAGTCGAACAAGAACTTCACCCGCTGATTTGTTAATGGGTTTTAATTTGCCACTTACAGAGTTCTCATCAACAGCCTGCCAAATAAAAACAGTGGATTTATTGTTATGAGGAGAAAGCAAGGAGGCAAACTAAAGTGGGGAAAGAAAGGAAGAAGGAAGACCAAAGCAAGGCAAGCAGAGGAAGAAGGAAATGCAGCCAACGGTTTTACCTAAAACTCAATTCGGGAAACAGTGTCATTTTGGATTAAAATCAAATAGTGTAAAATCTAAACATGTTTTTCTTTAGTTTTAGTTTCCCTTTTACGCTGTTAACCTTCGGTTATAACCATCATGTGGAGGAGAAAAGAGGGGTGATTGATTATTGTGATTGATTATTGTGAAAAATCCCTCTCTCTAAACACTCTCTCTCTAGACTCTTTCTTCTTCTTATCTGTTTCTTATTTCTTATCATCTTTAATTTCTTATTAGTTGCTGTAATAGTCTTGGTTACTACAATTAATATCCCGGATGTTGAATTTCCCTTTCAATTTCTATGTTATTGTTGCTGGAATTGTTGGTTTTACGTTGAGATTCAAGCTCAACCACTAAATTTATGCAAAAAACTTTCGGCATCTATTGACAAACTGAGAAAGCGATGGCAGCTGAAAAAACATCAAACTAAAAAGCAAATGAAAGTGCACGCTTACTTGTGCCAGCCACCATGAGGAGCAAGGAAGCAGAACCCATACTAAATCTCCAAGGTTTACATCCCTGCTTGCGATTAATGGCATCTTATCATGCATTGCCTTCCTTTTCAACAAAATATCTGGCTATTTCTGTACAAGCTCTTCATAGAACAAATTTGTAGATCAATTCTAAGACACACATTGAATAATTTGAAAAGGTGAATTTTTTTAAATGCTGGATACTGTTCTATAGTTTTTTTCTGAAATACTGGGAAATACACCAGAATATATTCCAAAAAGGCAAACAACTGGATATCAAATTGTGTAGGCACACGCTTATGCAAAAACTACCAACTAGAATAGAGCTTCACCTGTAACAAGTTTGATCATTGGATATCAAATATGTAGGCAAGCAATTTTAGATATTATTCATCGTGCTATTATAGGTAAAAACTGTGCTACCATATATTTGAAAGCATTTTAGTTATGAAAATCAGCAATTTATAGTAGGATCAAGAAAAAGGAAAACATAACAACAGTAGAAATGGGCTCAAATGCAGCTTAAGGTTGAAATATTGCCCTAACCCCAAATAACCAGAACAGAGCTTCACTTCACCAGTAACAAGTTTGGTTAAATCCAAACAGGGGACAAAAAAGTTAGATAATAGAGAAACTTTATTATCATTATTATTACTACTACTACTACTACTACATAAAAAATAGTAATAATAACTCCAGCCAAAAATCATTCACTTAGGACCCAAATCCACATAGAATTTGAGATTACAACCACAATTTAAAGAAATCAATTCTCAGAAACAGATAATCAGGAAGAAATGGGCTCCGAAAATAATATACCCACTCACCCTTTCTTTTTCTCTCTTTTTCCGTCTCTTCCCTTTGTGTATTTACTCAATTACAAGCTCTTTATAAGCTATAAATCTGCTTTTCTCGGGAAGCTGTACTAACTGCATACTGCTATGCACAACGCCCGTGTAAGAGAGAGAGGATTGGTCTTTTCAGTATGAAATAGTGCCAGTGTGATTGATTTAATCGAGGTGGTAAAATAAGGTATTGATTTCGGTAACGTCCAATGGTCTTTATTATTTTGAAATAACGTATTCTATTACTTGGAAAGCATTGTAAATTTAAATAGTTAAAATTACAAAATATTCAAATAAACTTTTTATATTTAACACTTAATCCTTATTTGAGTCACATTATTGGAATGAAAATATATTTTTGAATAGTATATTGATGAAAAATATATAGTTAAAAATAACGAAAAATTTTGAATTTGCGTGTAATATTATTTTAGTGAAAAATATATAGTTGAAATGATGTCACATCACTGTTAAAAAATATATTTTTTTTCAAATAATATGGATTAAACAGGACCTTAATTTTACTCTCTAAAAATTTTTATTATTTTCCTCTATCATTTATTTTAATTAAATTTATTTTAATTATTTTTTTTATTTTCTTAAATTGAAAATTAAAACACTTTAAATGCATGTAAATTATAATGTTAATTTAAAAGTAGAGGAAATTTCAAAAAATGTCCATTTTTACTTAGTTATTTGCAAAAATGTCCACCATTGTAAAAATGTCTAATTTGGAAAAATTTAGACCAAAATACCTTTATTAACAATTTACAATTCTACACTAAAACAAAAAAAAAAAAAAAAACACTTTTGTAATATTGTTTCTGACCAATAAAATTTTGACACTACCTACCATATTTATTTCAAAAAGTATACATGTCAAATCACAATAAATGCTATATTTTTCATTGATTCAGAAATGTCGAGAACGACATTTTTAAATGTAGAAAAATATCATGTTCAAAATGAAATGTCATTCTAGACAAATGAAACGGTGTTCAAATGTCGAAAATGACATATGAAATGTCGAGAAACATTATTTTAATATAACTTCTCATGGAAGTCACTTCTCAAAATTTGTGATAAATTGATAAAAAAAAATCAAATGTCGAGAATATCATTTCAAAATGTTACTTCATTAAGGACATAATAGACAAATTGGCACTAAATTCAAATGAGTGAACAATTTTCAACTCATACCCTTAAAGTTGGACATTCTTAAAAATGTATCTTAAAAGTATTTTGGAGTATGATTTTAAAGATTGACTCTTTAAAATAAAGAGTCTCTTGTAGATGCTCTTAATATGTTTGAGCTCTATTTTTCAATGATACACTTTTCTTCAAACTCATTTTTTATCATAAAAATTTAAAATTTTTCTTATTTTTCAATATACATTTTTTAAAAGTCAGTATTTTAAAATCTATTTTTACCAAATAATAGGACTCAGAGCTTAATTCTACTTTTCATTTAGCCCTTATTTAATCCGCATTATTTTCAAAATATATTTTTCTCTTTTTTTTTTTCAACCACTTATTCATAAATAAAATAATAGTTACACGCAATTTCAAAATTTTTCTTTGTTATTTAACCATACATTTACCATCAATCTATTATTATAAAACGTATTTTACACAAAAATTGAGGCTCAAACAGGCCTTTAATGTTATATTAGCACCATATAAATTGATGTTTTAACATCAATTATTCTAAAGTGTTCCTTTGGTGATAATTTTAAGAGACAATTATACCCATATTTTATGTAATGGACGCTTTACTCTTGAATTAGCTCTTTTTGGTATTGATAAAAAAAAATGATTTGGTGAATTTTGATTAAAAAATTTAATCAAACGTGTGATTAAAATTTGATAATATTTGTGAGTCCATAAAAAATGTGATTAAATATAAATTCAGAAAATATGAGTTTTTAAGAGATGTGGACAAAAAGTAACAAGCATATTTTATGACTTGCAAATGACTTTTAAGAAAGGAAAAATAAATCTAGGAACTGCACAAATAAAAAAAAAATTAGAAAAAAAAAAATGAAAATGGTCGTCCACAACATTTACCCATTGCCAGAGCCGACTCGAGTCTTCCGACGCCTCGTATTTTACGAAGGTCCCAAAATTTTGAAATTTCCGGTTGTTACCCTTTTTACCCTTCCTTTTTACTGGTGGGCGGTGGTACACACATTTCAATAACACAAAATTGTTGCTCTTCCTTTTCAATTTCCCCTTCTATTCTTGAAAGTCTAATGAACTTCAAGGGTTTAAAAGCACAGTAATAAATCAAAATAATAACATTGTTCTTTGCCAGTTAAAATTTACAATTTGAAAACCAAAAATACCTCCTCTTCTTATTTTTCCTGTCGCATATTCCAATTTACAGCTTATAATTTCTGGTCCTTGATTTTGATATTTTAATATAATCAGTGAGGACTATGAGATGAGTTTATCTGTTGGAATGTTGTTTTAAGTATTTGTTTAGTTTTTTAATATATGTTGGATGGTGCCACCCACGCCCTCCCTTTTTTAACGAAAAAGAATTACTTTTTTACTAGATTTTGATAAATATATTACATGTACTAATACTAACTTCTAAAATTCGATAAAATAATTCCTCATCTTGTAAACCTCTAGTTTTTCCCTTTTCATGTATTTGAATGATACTTGTTTTAGAAACCAGTATCTTTTAATTATGTGTAGTGTAATGATACAAGAAATCAACTGCATGTGTATTTTTTATATTTTTTTAGTGAAGTGATTTCTGTACATCACTTCTGGAGTAAGTGAATTCTGGATTTCACTTCTGTATTGACTTGTGAGAAAAAAAAAATGGGGCAAGAAAATAGATTACAAAGAGAAGCTTAAAAGTTATTTTTGCAGGTTTACATATTGTCTGCACATTTTGAAATGTGAAACGTCGTTGAATGATTACATTCATGTCGGCATATCCTCCTACCTAAATCAAAGAGACCACCCCATAGACCAAATAATACAAGGAGATGTACAAAGGCTCAAATGCTTTAATCCGATCGTGTGAGGAAGTTGTGGAGGGAATGGGCATAATAAAAAAATAAAATAAAAAATGCCTCTTTGTCTGTGACATGTAAGAAAACGTAAGTATGGATCAGGAATCAATATTTGATTCAGTCAGATAATTTGTGGGCTATCGAGTATTAAGCCGAATATGTAATCACGTTACATTATGCATCATTAATTCAATGATTATTTCTTACTGAAATGCAGTTATTAAAAATAGGAGTGGGCGTGGTTCGATTCGGTCGATTCTAAAAGGAACCGAACCGAATCGAATACCAATGAGAATTTTAGAAATGGAACCATTGGTTCCATTGTTAGGTATGGAACTGAACCGGAGCCGAACCAATCGGTTTTGGTTCGGTTCGGTCCGATCCGGTTCTTTACATAAAAATGTCAAAATAAAATGTTTACTAATAAAAAATCTAAAGAAACTACCAATGTGATTTTTTTTTAAAAAATATAGAAGAACCTAACATATTATACAAAGATTAAAAGAAAACTAAGTATACAAATTTTAAAACAATATGCAAATAATATAAGTTTCTATTATCAAACAAATATTAACTTATATAAACTGTCTAGTACTTCAATGATTAAACAAACTTTCATCAAAATGAAAACAAAATAAAAGTGTTTGGAGAGAAAGTCATATATTTTACTGAAAAAATGCCAACTGAAGGGTCCCTTTTTAACATTTTTCTCAATTATTTAATTAAAAAGTGACATATGAACTATATACATAAACATTCGTTTCATTTTCATATGTCACTGCCGTTTGCTTATGTTGTTATACAACTTTTTTTTTTTTTTTTTTTTTTTTTTTTGATGGAATTTTTTTTTTTTTTTTTTTTTTTACTTTGATGGAAGTTTCTTTTCACTTTAAGAGTAAGTCATATATATTACCAATTTGGTTTCGGGACAAATTGGAGAGTAAATCTTATATTTTACCAAAAAAGAAAAAAATGCCCACTAAAAAAAAATTCTATGAGAACCGTTCGGTTCCCCGCGGATCCCATACTAGAACCAAGAATCGGACCGGAACCGATCGGTTCTTAATAATTTGACCCGAAACCAAATTATTTTTTAGAAGAACTGGAACCGAACCGGGCGGTTCTAAACGATTCCAATCTAGTTCCACTGGTTCCAAGAAAAAAATGTCCACTCCTAATTAAAAATCAAGCATGCGGGATGGTTTTTGGATTTATTAAGAAGCATTCTGGCGAGAGATGAATTCAATAGAATATGAAATTTGGAAATTGTGAGATCGACGGGTAGATAGGCTTATTTAGTGGAGTAAAATTAGCTGGATAAATTTATTTGTACATCTCAATTCACCACTTGGTTGACAAATAGATGATGTGGTAGCTTTACAATGGTTGGATTAAAAGAGTGAGAAGTAAAAAATAGTGTGGGATTGTGTCAAGTGTAAATTTGGTAAACCAAAGTGTAAAAAGAGATGTACAAGTAACAAAATTGAAATTAGCTTCCAAATTGATTACCATGTAGGATAGAAGTATTTTTTTTTGGGATCTTGGACCGTGGATGAAGGGGGTCTTGACCGTGTACATATAGTTCATTGAGGGGTATTGGTCGTGTTTTAGAATTGATTATTAAAGGTATTTGAGATTCACTTTCGTTCATTGAACGGGCTTGAGGCCCGTGTCGAGAGTACTTAGCCCAAGGGGCAGTCTACGCATGTGTGATCAGCTTACAGATTTCAATCAGAGGTACATTTTTGGTGAATTTTTCAGTACATTTGATATGATGAAATTATAGTATGATTACCAGCTTGTGTTTATATCATGATCCAAGATGATATTTTATGACGTTATGTAAATGTCTTACCTTTTGGCTATAATTAAATGATATTATCTTGCGAATTATTAAATGATATGAGATTGACCTTCAATAAAAATGAATAAATGAAAAAAGTATAATTATTTTTGAACTTCTTCACTCACTGAACTGTTAACTCATATATTTTTTTCATTTTTTCTTATCAGACCGCAGTTGAGTATCTAGGCACCTTTTGGAGTTAAACCTTTGATTTTGAAGTTAGAGCCACACAATAGAGTTTGTTAGTATGACTTACATTATAGAATATGTAGTCAGTATTGTGGAACGCATGTT